GCAGACCTATATTTTTAAAATTGTATTTATTACATCTTGAGTTTCATCAATAAAAATTTTGCAGAAATTTGTTCCCTTATTACATAAGTACCTACACAATATCTTCAACTTTGTTTCTCGGGCTGCAAAGTCTAAAATATTTACTATTTGGTCCTTTACAAGTATGCAATTCCTGCTGTAACTGAAACAAGACTGCCCATGGTTGGTAACTGTTAAAGCTGCGTGAACAGTACATAGGGATTCAATACACTTTCTACTTTGAAATATGTTTGAAACTTATCATCATAAATTTTTATAACTAAAAAAATACATCATTAAATATATTGAAATTTTTTCTTGAAAGTTTTGCAAGTAAATTCAATCAAGTCTCATGGAATGAATACTTTATCTTTTATATAAACCATACCAAAACACAGAAAACATGGTATTCTTCCCAACAATGTCATTGTAGTAGTCTCATCATGACATGAAAACCAACATAAGCCCATATTTTAAAAATTAAATTAAAGGTCAAATCTCATTATGCACATAGATGCAAAATTACTTAAAAATATTAAAAACTACTTTAAAAATATAAATCAAATTCAGTATCCTATTTAAAAAATCATATTAGAGCAAATAGCATTTACTTTAGATTTTATACTACATTGAATTTTTTTAGTACGCCACCATAACAGATTAAACAAACAAAAACCATTTTAAAAGATACTGAAGGAAACATTTCAAATACTTTAACATTATTCCTAATAAAAGCTAAGATAAAAAGCTAGGAAATAGTCAGATCCTTAACCCAACTTAACCAGAAAGCTTCAAATACCAGATAGTTAAACATTAAAAGTATATATACCCACAAAAAGTTAAGACAAGGGTGAAAAACCTCTGCTATTTAACATTATCAACAAAGATTTAGTCAATGCTATTTTTTGCATTTTGCAATATCTATATATTAAAATAAATATCTTTCTTATGTATAAATTTCATCTGAATCCATGAGTGGGGAGGATATGACTTTACTGAAGACCAGGCTCTATTCAGGGAGACATGCTATATTGTTATGAGAAGACTTAACATTCCAAAATAATCAAAGTAAAAAAAATCTACCAATTAAAGTAAAAATTATAACTATAATTTTTAACAGAATGAAAAGCTAATTCTAACTCCACTGAGAAAATTTTTAAGAACTGCCACAAAAATATTTTAAAAGGAGAAAAAATGAGAAGAGATTTACCTTATATCACAATACAAGAGAAACGACAAATAAAAACAATACAATTTTAGCACAGGAACAAATAACAAATCAATGTAATGGTATAGAGCTCAGAGAGAAACTCATGTGTATATGGTAATTTAGTTTATGATATACAAGCCATTCTAATCATTTCATGAGGAAAAAAATGGGTTTTTCTATAAATGGCAATGGTAAAACTAGCTACCCAGTTGGGTTAAAACAAATCATACTACATGTAAAAAAATAAATTCCTGATGACTTTGAAGTAGATTCTCCTCCTCTAAAAAAATAAAAATATAAAAACAGTTAAAGAAGTATAAGAGAATATTTTTATAATCTTGGGTGTGGGGAAGGCATTCCTCAGCAAGAATCAAAATGTAGACTCTATAGACGTGACTACATCTAAATTTAAAAATTCAATAAGCAAGAGTCAAAAGAATGTATTTCCAACGTATATGACAAGGATTAGCATTAACAAATCAATTAAAAAAAAGGGAACCATCACATTAGGAAAATGGTATAAGCAATGTATATGGGACATAAATCACTACTAAGCATATGATGTATGCTGAATCCCGTAAGTAATCAAGGAAATACAGCTTAACACAGTAACACCTTATTTCTCAAACATGCGCCTGACAAAAATTTAAAATAATTACAATCTCTAATATTTACTAAAAATGTAGTGAGAGAAAATATTCTACAGAGATAATGTAAACTTGTAAAAGAAGCTTTTTTTTTTTACATGGCAATTTGGCACTATTAATCAAAATGTCAAACGTGTGTACCATCTGACCTACGAACTCCAGTGCTAGGAATCTATTCTAAGAAAAACTTATACATGTACAAAACATGGACCTACAAGCACAGTTAACTCCACATCAAGGAAAGCAAATGTACAAGATAGGTCTGGAATACCCTGTTATATCAGATAGCAAGCAAGCTATCAAAGACTAATAAGGCTATGTAAAAAGGTCTCAGGAGCCAATATGAACACAATCCCACTGGTCAAATGTGTCACAATTTGATCATCAATAAGGTGTTCAAAAGACTGAAACACATCAAGCAGGTTTTAAGTCCGTGAGTTCAAACTAACACTCCCCCAAAATTGGTCACCCTTAGAAGATAAAAAGAAATTAATCCCTTATTTGAAAATTGGTAAACATAAGGAAAGAATAAAGCATTTATCCTGTCCTTCCGACACGAACTGTACTACTGGGTAACTAATTAGTAAACAGGGAAATATTTTCCTTTATAGAAGTATTCCAGTCACCATAATCAAAAAGGAATGACTGAATTGGAACATTATCATTTTACAACCCCTAATAAATTAACGTACCAAAACACTGAGCACAAATATCTGGTAATGTTAACAGATAAACCAGACATTAGCCTCCTCACAGAAGAACAAAACATTAGTGAGGTAATCCTGCACTACCACCCACCCAATCAAACCTAAATCTGATCAAGCCTCTATATCTAACTAGCAATTTACAAAAAAGCAAATGAGAGAGAAACAAATCAAACTATACCACAGCACAAAATCAGCAAAATCCACGTTTCTTCAATCTGGGAACAAATGAAAATGGAAGAGGGGAAACTCTAGATGGAGAGACTGAAAAGATACACCTCAACTTCGATGTTTAAAATGCTAAAACTAAACTAAGGTGTTTAGGGGAACGTATCTGGGTGAAGAAACTACAAAGAAAATCAAAGAAGGGTTTACCATAAAACATAGCAACTGGATACACAGAAGGCTTAAAAAAGAAAAGGTCCTCTCTACCAGCAAATAATAAAATTTTTAAAAT